AGAGAGAGAGAGAGAGAGAAGAGAGAGAGAGAGAGAGAGAGAGAGAGAGAGAGGAGAGAGATATAAATAGATAGATAGATATTCGCACACGCATTTTCTTCTTTCTTTCCTGTTTTGTGTTCGCGTCTGTTTGTGCATCTATCTTGTCTGTGTTTGTGCCTCCGTCCCTTTCCCTCCTCTGCTTAGCCTTAACAGAGACACAATATGCTCGACTTATTTTACACTCATGTTAGAACACCATCTTCGTCATTTTTCACTGCAATTCCCCCCTTTATTCTTGACATCCTCATCATAATTCCCACTTCATGGAGGAGGCTATGGAGTGGAAACAAGCGGAGGGGAGGGAGGGGAGGGGGAGAAGGAGGAGGGTGGGGAGGGAGGGGAGAAGGAGGAGGGTGGGGGAGGGAGGGGAGAAGGAGGAGGGTGGGGGAGAAGGAGGAGGTGGGGGAGGGAGGGAGGAGAAGGAGGAGGGTGGGGGAGGGGGAGAAGGAGGAGGGTGGGGGAGGAGGGGAGAAGGAGGAGGGAGGGAGAAGGAGGAGGGAGGGGGAGAGGAGGAGGGTGGGGAGGGGAGGAGGAGGAGGAGGAGGGGGGGAGGAGGGAGAAGGAGGAGGGTGGGGGAGGAGGTGGAGAAGGAGGAGGGAGGGGGAGAAGGAGGAGGGTGGGGGAGGAGGGTGGGAGGAGGGAGGGAGGAGGGAGGCAGGAGGGTGGGGAGGAGGGGAGGAGGAGGAGGGTGGGGGAGGAGGAGGGAGGAGGAAGGAGGGTGGGGGGGAGGGGAGAAGGGGGAGGGTGGGGGAGGAGGAGGGGAGGGTGGGGAGGGAGGGAGGAGGGGGAGAAGGAGGAGGAGGGGGAGGGAGGGAGGGAGGAGGGTGGAGGGAGGGGGAGGAGGGGAGGTGGGTGAGGGAGGGGGAGAAGGAGGAGGGTGGGGAGGGGGGGAGGAGGAGGAGGGGGGGAGGAGGAGGGAGGAGGGGGAGGAGAGGAGAAGGTGAGGGTGGGGGAGGGAGGGGGGAGAAGGAGGAGGAGGGTGGGGGAGGCAGACAGCTGGAGACACGAGGAAAAAGGATGGAGGAAGAAGCAAAACAGCTGGAACCCACGGACGACGCCGCTGAAACTGCTGAGCCACGGTGACATCCCTCTGACATTGGTCTCAGCTGGGGGGGGGGTTCGGGGGGGGGGGAGGGGGGTCTTTGTACAGCCTCCAATCTCCTTGTAAGACTTAAGGAGATTGGACGTCGCGCCCTCAACAACATTTGTGTGTATTCAAATTTATAAACTTGTTATCGACATGTTTGGGTGTTACGTCACGTGTCTTTGTATATCCTTTGGTTGTCGTTGGTTTATGTTTTTTTTTCTTGTTTTTCTGATTATTCTTTGTGCTAAAAAATATGATCTTTATCACTTTATCTACTAATCCGTTTACCTCTCTCTCTCTCTCTCTCTCTCTCTCTCTCTCTCTCTCTCTCTCTCTCTCTCTCTCTCTCTCTCTCTCTCTCTCTCTCTCTCTCTCTCTCTCTCTCTCTCTCACTCTCTCTTCTCTCATGTTTTCTTGTTTTCTTTCTCTCTCTAATGATGATGATAATGATAATAACAATAATAATAATAATCATAACCATAACAATATCAACAATAGGTATCATAATGTTAATGATCAGAATGATAATGGTAATAATAATGCGAACAATAATAGAAACAATAATAGTGATAATTGTACCAATAATTATCATTATTATTAGTATCATTATCATTACCATTATTATCATCGTTATCATCATTATCATTATCATATTACAATATTATTAACAACACGCTTACATCCTTATATTCTCCCTACAGTTTTGTCTCCTGATTGTACTCAAAGGGTTATTGTGTTGCTGGATGTGTGTAGTCATTAACAATAATAAAAGTCAGTGATAATGGAGGGAATATGAACGGGTTTTGTATGCAATGTCATTATTATTGTTATCATGATAATTGATCTATTAGCATTCTTTATTTTTACATTACTTTTATTTTTATTTTTACGTTTTGTATGTAATGTCATTATTATCATTCATGATAATTGTTCTTCTTGTTAGCATTGTCTTTATTAATTTTTTCATTATTTTTATTGTTATTATTTTATTGTCATTATTGTTGTTATTACTAATTATTATTTTATTATTATCATTATTGTTATTATCATTTTTATTATTATCGTTATTTTTATTGTCATTATTGTTGTATCATTATTATTGTATTTATCATTTTTATCATTATCGTTATTGTTATTATCAATTTATTATTGTTATTATCATTATCATTTTATTATTATCATTATTATGTTATTATTATTTTATTATTATCATTGTTGTTATTATGAGACAGACAGACAGACAGAGACATTCTAAAAGTTAGGTAACACGAATGAACGATACAAGATGATGATGATTGCGATGGTGATGGTGGGGATGATGATGATTATGGTGATGGTGATAAGGATGATGATAGTGATGAGGATGAGTGTGAGGATGGTGATGTTGATGATGATATTGATAATGATTATAATAATAATAATAATAACAATAATCATGATAATGATGAGCAATAATGATATAATAATAATAATGATAATATTAATAATCACAATAATAATTGGTAACAATAAAAATAGTGATAAGAGTAATAATAATAATATTAATAATTAAAATAATAATAATAATTAACAATATAATAATATAATAAAACAACAACAACAATAATAATAATAATAATAATAATAATAATAATAAATAATAATATAATAATAATAAATATAATATAAATAATAATAATAATATAATAATAATAATAATATAATAATAATAAAATAATAATAATAATAATAATAATAACAATAAATAATAATAATAATAATAATAACAATAATAATAATAATAATAATAATAATAATAATTAATAATAATAATAATAATAATAACAATAATAATAATAAAACAACAACAATAATAATAATAAAACAAAGATTAATAATTGAAACAGCTGCGTCACGGTGACTCATCCTTCTCATCATTCTTGGGGGCTGGAGGGGGAGCTAGGTATGGCCAGGTCGTCATCAACTCGTTTCCGTGTTTGCGTCATGGATCTGTGTACTGGGCGTGGGGGGGGGTTGTGATGTATTGTACATGTTTAGTTGTTTATGTGCGTGTGGATGTGCGTGTGTGTGTGTTAAGATTACAGGCGTTACGTGTATTACACACACACACACACACACAAAACACACACACACACACGCACGCACGCACGCACACCACAAAATATATTATATATATATATATATATATATATATATATATATATATATATATATATATATATATATATATATATATATATATATATATATATATATTATATATATATATTATTTATTTATTATATATATGTATATATATATATATATATACATATATATATATATATATATATATATATATATATATATATATATATATATATATATACATATATATACATATATATATATATATATATGTGTGTGTGCGTGTGTGTGTGTGTGTGTGTGTACATGTGTGTATGTATATACATATATATACATGCGCCCTTTATTGTTTCACATCCATATTCACGCAACAAGCTACACTTTGCTAAGCGTTGGAAGCAAGTGACAAACAACAGAACCTTTGACCTTTGACCCGCTCACATGGCCTTCACTTGATAAATCGCGTTACCTTAGTCTGCCCCAGGTGTCGGTGTCACTTTAGTAAAATTGGATTTCCTCCGACTCAAAATTCAGAGGGAATGATTCATTAATGGATTTTCGTATGGGGTGCTCGAGGGATTATATATTGCATCATGCAGATCTTCCTGAATGATTCTCCCCAACACAGACCTCTATGAGAAATGTGCATTTGGAAGGGGTGTCTGTCCTGCAGTGGAAGATACGGGCTGTTCCAGAGAACATGTTTATATAGAATAATCTGTCTATTTTTGCTATTACCCTATATCTATTTATCTATCAGCTTACATATAACTATTTATCAACTTATATATATTTATCTATCTACGTATACCTATATCTATACATACTAATATATATATATATATATATATATATATATATATATATATATATATATATATACATATATATTACATATATATATATCTATATTATATATATATATATATATATATATTATATATATATATATATATATATATATATATATATATACTCATCTATCTACCTATCTATCTATATTTATCTACGTATATCGATCTGTCTTCCTATCTACCTGTTTATCCATACATCTAATTATCCATATATCTGTCCCTCTGTTTGTCAGTCTATCTATGTACCTCTATACGTATATAAGTATGCGTGCGTGTGTGTGTTCGCAGCCAGGGGGACAAACCAGTCTAATCTCTCGCTGAATGCTGTTGGAAAGGTTCATCATTGACCTCAAATGCTCAAAATCTCCGCCTTACTGTATCGCAATATAGGGGCGAAATTAGGCTGCGTGCTGGAATTTCTGATACGGCTGGTACAAATGAACACACAGACTAATGAAAAAGGGAAATTAACTTTATACGTTGTATTCAGGGGAGAAATAATCATGATGGTTGTCAGTGGCCGTATTTTGATGTGTCTAAGTGTTTTTGTTTTGTTTTTGTGTAAAGCAGTTTCCATCAGATGTCTGTTTGTTTACTTGATAATCAGAAGTTATAGTCATATTATTTGTTTAACCGACGAAATGTGTATATATATATATATATATATATATATATATATATATATATATATATATATATATAATATATATATATATATATATATATATACCTCATTTTTTCTCTGCTATTAATTTTCTCCCTTTTGCAATTCTTTTCATTCTATCAGGCTGCTGATAGTGCTTATCTTGATAAGCCAACGCACGGCTGGTGAAATTTCATGTGGCGATGTTGTTTAGAGAGAAAATATTTTGTGGCACAGAATAACGAAACCATTTCACGCTGACTTTATTTGGAAACCAATGTCACTGTACACAAATGGGGCAGAATCAGACACAAGTTCCACTGACTTTCGGACTGCAATTACTAATGCAGTTGACGCTCTTTTCACACAGATGTGACTCTGCATTGAACACCATTTGGTGTGGACATTTAAAGCTCACAGAGCCTCCAACTGTACACAAATAAAACTTTGTGCAGTTGTAGGGATCAGGGACTCTCTGGTACACATGGGTGCAGTGAGGCTTGCAGGGATCGCAGTACTGGTAGCAGTAGCTATCGTCCTCGGAACACATACCAGTCTTGTAGTCGAAGTAATAGCCAGCCTCGCAGTCGTGCTCAATAGCGAGTCCGTCGGCAAGACACACGTAGTAACGGCTGCAGTCTGTGGGGTGCGGGGCGAGCATGCCGGCCTCGGGGCAGTGGGCTTCGCACGGGTCGCAGGTGGCTGTTGTGATTACCTCGGGCGTGTCTTCTATCGGGTCGCACCTGGGCAGGGTGTGTGCGTCGTTGAAGAACTCCCCTGGAGGGCACTGCACGGAGTCGGAGGAGGGAAGGAGGTTTCCTGAAAGAGTACATTGGCCAAATTGCTACTGCCTTTCACGCTGGCTTTTAACGCAAAATAAATATACCTTTCAAAATGTTAATATCTCGTAAAGACATGTATCATCGCACATATAAAACCACGTTTACCAGAGCCGTCAACATCAAGGCAAATGTAATATCTGGTGATATCCGTCGGGTCTCTGACTCTCACGCCCGGATCGACGCCCGAACAGTCTGGGGCGCAGACCTGCTCGCCGGGAGACACCTGCGGAGGGAAGCTTCCTTGACGCAGCTTCTTCAGATATTTACTTCTCATTCATTTACACATATCTCAATTCATGCCATTCACTCACACTATTCTTCAATTCCATAGAAACTGATCATATATATGCAATTCATATCAATTTATATTGTGTCTATTAATTCAGATAAGAACAATTGTTATAACCTATCAGTCACTATCAGTCACTCCTAAGCAAGGTTACCAATCCCACTTCAAAATAACTTTGCATTTATTGCTACGATTCTCAAGCATCCCGCAACGAATCATGAAAGAAGTAAAACGCATATACTTTGGGAAGAAACATTTGGGAAATGATAAACCGAGAGAGAAAAAAAATCAGTGATGAGTATTCACTCCCACCAAGTAATTCATCAATTCTACTACCAACACAATATCAACAAGAATAAAATAAGAATACAATTAATATATACCTACCGTAAGAAACACAAGGAGAGCATAACTAAGAAACTTCATTATCCTTACACTGAGTAGATAACCAATCGGTGCGGAATATATATAGCCTTTCTTATCATGTACTTATCAAAGGGTGCTGTGTGATTCTGTTCATGTTGATAGTGATAACTGGTGATTACTGTTTTTATTGTCATTGTTATCATTACTGTTCTCATTATTGTTGTTATCATTGTCATTGTTATCATCATTATTATCATTAATATTATCATCATCATAACTGTTATTATATCATTATTACTTTTGTTATAATCATTGTCATTATTATTATCTTAAATATCACCATACTATCATTTTGTTTTCTTTATCATTTAGTGTTTTTTTCATTATCATTATCATTATCATTATCATTATTATGTTATTTTTTATTATTTTATTATTATCATTATTATTCTTGTTGTCATTGTTGGTATTGTTGCAATATTACATTTTGTTCTTATTATTACTGTTTTACTATTGTCATTATCATTTTCATTATTGTTACTACTACTACTATTATTGCTGTTATTGTTATTATTACTGTTATTAATATTACTATTGTCATCACTATCATTATCATTATCCTTAATATCCTGATTATTATAATTATTACCATCATCATCACTATCCTCATCAATGTTATTATCATTACCATCATTGTTATGGTTATCATTATCATAATTATTATCCATACCATTGTTATTACGATTATCCTTAACTGAGACATCAATACATATTCCTTTCTGTGATCAAAAGTAAATCGTAATCATGAAATATATTCAATTGATGATAATGTTACAGGTGTTTAAGCCCATGAAAAAAGCGACAAGCAACAAGTGTAAAGACAGTTATTTCCGGTCTTACTGATCTCCTGTCGGACTCTCTCTTTCCCTCCCTCCCTCTCTCTCCTTCTCTTCTCTCTCTCTCTCTCTCTCTCTCTCTCTCTCTCTCTCTCTCTCTCTCTCTCTCTCTCTTCTTTCTTCTCTCTCCTATATCTATCTATCTATATCTATCTATCTATCTATCCATCTATCTAATCGTTATGGCACAGACGCTTAATCGCGTCTGTGCCATAACGAATAACAACTCCCATAACTAACCATAATGAAACTAATGATCCCACAGCCCCCCCCCCCCTGAATCAACAAGTGTCTTCCTTCCCACAATATAGAAATGTGTGAAATATATATCTGCTTATCTTCGGACGCTTACATATATCTATTTATCAACTATATTTTATTTATCTACGTATACCTATATCTACCTTCTTACCTATATATCTATATATCTACATATACATATATATGTATATGTATATATATCTTTATATTATCTATCTATATATCTACTCATCTATCTACCTATCTATATCTATCTACGTATATCGATCTCTTTTCCTATCTATCTAATTATCTATCTGTCCCTCTGTTTGTCAGTCTATCTATCTACCTCTATACGTATATAAGTATGCGTGCGTGTGTGTGTCGCAGCCAGGGGGACAAACCAGTCTAATCTCTCGCTGAATGCTGTTGGAAAGGTTCATCATTGACCTCAAATGCTCAAAATCTCCGCCTTACCGTATCGTAATATAGGGGCGAAATTAGGCTGCGTGCTGGAATTTCTGATATGGCTGCTGCAAATGAACACAGACTAATGAAAAAGGGAAATTAACTTTATACGTTGTATTCAGGGGAGAAATAATCATGATGGTTGTCAGTGGCCGTATTTTTGTGTCTAAGTGTTTTGTGTTTGTTTTTGTGTAAAGCAGTTTCCATCAGATGTCTGTTTGTTTACTTGATAATCAGAAGTTATAGTCATATTATTTAACCGACGAAATGTGTATATATATGTTGTGTGTGTGAATATATATATATATATATATATATATATATATATATATATATATATATATATATATATATTATATATTAATCATTTTTTCTCTGCTATTAATTCTCCCTTTTTGGCAATTCTTTTCATTCTATCAGGCTGCCTGATAGTGCTTATCTTGATAAGCCAACGCACGGCTGGTGAAATTTCATGTGGCGATGTTGTTTTAGAGAAAATATTTTGTTGGCACAGAATTAACCGAAACCA